AAAGTCTTTGTAAATAGGGAAGGGTGGAGGGGGTGAAGGGAGGGCAGCGGAAGGGGGAAAAATAAGAACCAAGATGCATCATGTAAAGGTACAAGTTCCCAATGAGAAATGTAAATGTGTTGTATACCTAAAATGTACCAATAAAAGAATTTTAAAAAAAACAATTAGAAGCAGAGTATTGTGTACTGTACATAATTGCATGTGCTCTATTTTTATATGGCTGGCAGTGCAAGTTTGTTTACTCCAGCATTACTGCAAACATGCGAATAAGGTATTGTGCTACGACCTTAGGATGACCATAACATCATTATATGACAGGAATTTTTCAGCTCCAATATAATTTTGTGACACCAACCTTGTATTTATAATACATTGTTGTACGAGGCAGTATGTGGTCATATTTGCATGTTCTCCATGCAAATCAATAAAAACACATAAAATATAAAATGGGCTCAACGTGGAGCCTAACCGAACTATTTAAATTCTTGACACTGCTTGTCTACTTCAGCCAACACCATGCACAATATTAACAGTGGCACATTATTTAGGTCTCACTAATGTGGGGGACAGGAAGCAGGACTAGGACAGAGAAGCAGTAAAGGCCAACAGCCTAGGCTTCAGTTCTTCCCTTTACCTAAAACAAAACATCTGCTACTAGTGAATAACACATTTAAAAGTTGCTGAGAGAAAGAAGTTAACAGTAATAAGAAGATGTAAAGGTGGGCCGGGGATTTAGCTCAGTGGTTTCGCCACCTGCTGCGCAAGCGCAAGGACCTGAGTTTGATCCCCGTGCCAAAAAAAAAAAAAGAAGATGTAAAGGTTAATACAAGGCTGTTTGCCACTGTCCCTCTATCTATACATACTGAAATATAACTGGGGAAACTGCAGTGTATTTGTTTGGCTACTCTTTCTATTTACATTCTAAATTTATTTTCTTTCTTCATTTTGTTTTTCTTGTTTTGTTGCTGTTCTTCAGAGAACACCTTTCTACATATGGGTGTTTTAAAATTCCAATCAGAATTGGTAGTGGGAAAAGAGCTGGGGAAATAATGGAGATGCCAGTACCATGTGACACATTCACAAACCCTATGAATTTTTAATGAAGGAACAATGTCCACAATTAGATTTGAAATGAAGTTTTCTTTGTGGGCGCTCTTATAGTAAGTGGAGTGTGGGTAGATTCTACTTTATATTCAGCAAATGATATTGATGCAAAAAACACTATGATTTAATAGAAAATAAAAGCAAATTGTTGGTTGTTCATAGCTCTTTATTTCTTCTCCTAGATTTAGAGAAGTGTGGCAATTTAAAAAATTGTATTCTGTTTTATTTAAATGCCATGTATATGCTAGAGCATTCAATGGCACAGAAAGTCATTTCCAGTCATGACATTAAGCTGTCCTTTCACACTACAGAGAAGTTTTTATTTGTTCAATTTGTTTCCAACCGTAAAAATAACTTCTAAATGCAGACCTTTGGGGAGAAAAATATCGAGCTTCTCCTCTTGCAAACTAAGGCATCTCAAATGATCATGAAAAATGTAATAGTGGAGAAAATAAGAAAATAGAATGGGTAATAGCTCATTAATTTGTATTGAAGCTAAAGCTTAACTCTCATCTTCAAATGGCTTCTTAGGGCATCAGTGTCCATCATCATAGAAACATGTACAAACAGCTTCCCACCAATCTCATGGTCTTCAACTGTTAGGATCTTTAGTATTAGGCTCCTGGGCACTTGTACAACCTCATTTCCTACAGGTTCCTCCTTTCCTGGAGCCCAAGGCTTGTTACTCTTCCTTAAACCTGCCAAGCATGCATTTTGTGATCTTTACTTGGTGACTGTGTACATGGCCCCTCTGGATGCCTGTTCAATGGTCCACTCCCTCACCTTATTCCTGCTGTGGGGATACATCCTCCCTATGGAGGACTTCACTACCTTCTATGTAACATAACAATCTGAGATAACTTTGTCCATCTACCAGCCTTGTTTTTGTCTATAGGATTTCTCAGTATCAGAGGTTATACAGTACATAGCTATTTCATTGATGTTAGTCTTCCATGAGGACAGGCTTACCTTAAACAGTTTTACATGTTTTTCTTGCTAAATCTCTATCAGCCAAAGCAGTGCCTGGTACTTAGTATATATACAAACCCTCTCTCCCACACACACTCAAATTCATTGAATAATCTGTGAATGAGTAAATGTGGATGCATGTATGCATCCATATACATACTATGTTAAGTATACCTTTTTATTTTCTGTATTCCTGCTGCTTGACATCTAGGGCCTTGCAGGCACTGGAGAGACTGGCCCTCCCATAATTGCCAGCAAGCAACTGCCTGGAGGCCACTCTTCAAATGCAGATCAACCAACCTGGAGTCCACCACCAACCACCTCCTTTATATAACTCTCCTATGCTGAGCCAAGATTCTTTTGCACTCATCACCCCAGGGCCCTGAGCCAAACAACCAGAGTCATCCCTTTATTCCAGAGCTTGATTAAACTATTTGAACTAGCCCATCCTAAGTCTACCTGCTTTCCTGAATACACCACGTAAAGGCTCTTGCCTGCTGACTATTCCTCATACCTTCTCTCCCTTGAGATGAAGCCAATGTCACCCAATGTCTGTCCGGCTCACTGGTGTAGCATGGTATGCATGCTCTTCCTCTTGGGAACTGAGTAACTGTCTCTTTCAGGTAGTCTTGTGATCTACTGGCCTCAAAATACCTAGATAATAATACAAATTACATTTTTTAAAAACTACATTTTAAAGTGTAAGCCCACAAAAAGATAAGATGGCTCAAACAAATGAAATTCACTCTATCATTAAGGAAATAAAATACTACTTCATCAGGAACTACAATTTCTCTGGATTTGGAAGAAATAAAATGACTTTGACATCTTAAAGATCAGTATATAATTTAGCCTGCATTTCAGCTCTTGAGAATAATTTATAGATGGTTTTTATGGTTATTATTGTTGACTTCTACTTTGGCCCTCCAGCTTTTTTTTTTTAATTCAAACACCATTAACTCAAGGGAGTAGCATTGCTTTACTCTTTGTGGCAGACAGATATAACTAGTAACTGTACTCCAAAAACCAATAAATTCTCATTAAAATATATACACACCATGGAGTTTGGATGATGATGTGTCCATGTCAGTTCATCATTTGTAGCAAATGTAGCTCTGGTGCGGATATTGATAATGGTGAAGTCATACATGTCTAAGGGTAGGAGGTATATAGGAAAATTTCTGTACCTTTTGCACAATGATGCTATGAACTTAATACTGCTCTTTATTGTCATTTTTTTAAAAAGAAAAACATAAACATATATCCACTTATTGATTCTCTTTAAATATAAGAAAATAATAAACCATGACCATAATTTCCTAAATTGAAGCTAATTCTAAAAGTATTAAGGACATACTTTCACAACCTGGAGCACTTATAGTGATTTTCAACATAGTATGACATATTTGTTTTCTTTTTGTTTCACAAATATAGTTCGTGTTGTTCCATGGCCCATTGGTCAGATATCTCACTCTCTGTTGGAACACACTTCCAGCAGGGCTAAGCTATGGCCTGACGGAGGCATAGCAGCCATCGAAACTGATCCTGGGAAACTCACCTTTAATATACCCATAAGTAAACTCAGAAGGAATGTGCTGGGGGGTTATCCATTACTTGTACTTGGAAAGGACAAAGGCCTGAGGCCAGAGACTTAGCAGTAGGCATAAGCCAGAAAGATATAAAGATGTCCACAGGAATGGCTAAGGGAGTTTCTAGAATGAACTGGAGGGAGTCTCTACCTAGTCAGTTGCTAACCTTGGTGGTAGAGCCTTCACTGGGATTTGATAGCCCATGCAGCTGTCTTCTTGCAGTCATACTCATGCCTCTGGACTTATATTACAGAGCTGTTGCCAACATAGTCACTCTGGTGACAGACAGCCACATATTCTGAACAGAAAAGCTGGACTCTGCTCAAGGTATTAGTAACAATAAGAGAATAATTTTATAGAGAAGATTGTGATCATGTACTCTGAAAACATGCTTTCCAGATAAATGCAAGTGTTGGAGAATTTACATCAAAGGAGGCAAGAGCTCACCCTCCAGTCATTCAGCTTTCCTTTCTGATGGGTGGTACATTCTGCCTCCCACACACCAGAGCCCACAGCTGTTCCTCTGAGTACCACTCTTCCTTCACTTCTCCAAGCCTTCCTCTATTCAGGCTCACATCAAGGATGGCTTCCTCTAACATACCTTACAAGATCAATTCTTATTACCCCAAACTCCAGAGTTCCCCAAGGGTGGTATGTCAGAGGACTTAATGTGGATCCCAAAATCAGTATTTTAATTTTTAATAGTTATATTTGCTTTGAGCCATGTGAAATTAATGCTCCTGTGGATTTAAAAAATGGTCAAATATTGGCAGTTTCACATAGTTCAACCTAATATATATTAAAAAGAAATGTGTTAAAAGAAAATTCTAGGATTTCACTGATATTATTGCCTAGGACAAGACTAAAATGGTTAACTTATTGAGTCATATATAAACAAATAACTATATAGATTTTTTGATGCTACAGATATAGCAAAACTTAGGCTTGTTTTGACCACTGAACCATGGCATGGCTGCATTCTGACCACTATTGTTTTATATGTTTCCTTAACATGTCCCACTTTGTGTGTGTGTGATTTATTTATCTATTTATCTGAATATTTATGTATATATGTTTCCTCTTCAACTAGTTTTCCAGACATTTAAAGGCAAGGGGCAATTTGAATTTAGTAAACTCTTAGCATAATACCCTGCATGCAGCATGTAGACTCACAATAAGGACTGTTCTGGTCACTTGGGATGATAGTATCCCACCAGGTAACACCATTTATTTTCTTTTATGGTCATTCTAAAAGTAGAAATTGAGGGGCCATTTGACTGGCTGCTCTGGCCAAGAAGCCTACAACCTAGTGCAATGTGAAATGCAGGACTCCCCTATCGCAGTGCAGATTGACAGACATGCCAACCTCGACCCCACACAACATTATGGGGTAGTATGGTCTGGCAGGCAAAATATGGGCTGGCCATCTGGACATATTCTTTTGCAGCAAAATGTGCACTGCCCCCTCCACTTCACAAGCTCAAATGACAATGCCACCCACAGGTGAAGCCAGTTCCTCCAGGAATAGCCTCTTGCCATCTATCCTCTCTAGCCTGCCACTGACCACTGCAACCACCTTTTGGTTCTCTTTAATACCATCCATTAAAAAATGATTCCTTGCCTGGAGTTTGGAAATATATAGTGGTAATTATGACTCATATGCTTCAAAAAATAAACTAATGGTACTTATACCACCTACATATTTTATTTCTGTTTTAAAAACACACAATATGTTCACATGGTGTTGGTATTTTGGAAGTTTTTGTCAAGTATTTTTTTTTAACATGGTAGTTAAGAAACAAAATTCTGCCTACTAATTAGTTGCTACTTCCACTCATAAAATGATGGGTCTCCATAATATGGAGGGGGAGACCAGTCACTTGATGTCGAAGCAGATAACATTAAAGCAACACATTTATTGTAGAAGTGTGTGGTTAAGGGAGATGAAAGATGTTATTTTTATCTAAGGTATCAGGGAAACACTACAAGCCGCAGAATATAGGCTGAGTCTCAAAGAACGAAAAAAAAAATTTCAGTGGAGAGGGGGCAGGCAGCTCAGGCAGAAATGGGGAACACAAATATGTGAAATCCCCAGAGAGCATGGGAGGCTCTGAAAGGACAGAGCTGCCTTTCTATTTTACATTTCAGTAAAGGTTTTTAGATTATATTGGTATCTGAATGTATATAATGACAATGGCAGTTTTATTCTTTAAAATGTTGCTTTGAGAAAAATGTCAAGGGATTTAAACTCCTGCTTCCTAAGTACAATGTTTTCCTATACAAAGATGCTGGTTTATCAACCAGAAAAGTAAAGTAAGCCTCTTTACAAAAGATAGCCTGAAAAGATTAGGGAAGTCTTGACAATATAAACATGCACTTACCAACTCATGAAATGCTAAAACTAGGGTTTACTGTTCAAAGCATAAAAGAGATCATTTTAGTAGAAAGAAAATAAAGCATATTTCTTCACAGCATAAAAAAGGAATCTCCAGAGTTCATTAAGGAGAGACTAAAAAACTATACAAAATATTGTATATTCAATATACAAAGAAGAGGGCTTCAAGTAAAGTCACAGAGAACATATTTACAATGATTTAATTAAACCAGCACAGAAATGGCAGTAGTCTCTTCACAACCTTTAGGGACAAGGAAGAACTATCTAATAGCCTTCATATAGACTAGCTGCAAAAACAGTCAATAACAACATGAAGATGACAAAACTCTTAGAAGAAAGTTACTATATAGCCTAGAGTTCATAATGGTAAGGATAGAGGACATTAATCCTAATCAGGTCCACTCCATTGATGAGTGAAAAACATTTTAATTTTGAAGTTTAGAGAAATATAAGTATAATATGAACATTTAACAGCTCTGATAAGTATGTCATAAAAAGAAAATTTTAATTATATAACTAGATAGTCATGACCACGGTAAAAGAAAAAGGGATAACACTATACAGAGCTGTCTTCACAAGAACTTCTTTGATGAATTAAGATTCCAGAAGGATAAGTAATAGGTTGAAATGAAGAGACAGAAGAAAAAGCAATAAAAAATTTGTGGGAACGAGTCTTAGAACACTGAAGAGGCCTAAATCCAGAAGAACTGGGATCGAATATTTTGAAGCAAATGTCAAAGATAGTACATAGAATATATTTTTTAAATATCTAAAAAGGAAGAACAAGGAAAAATGGCAACACATTTGGGAAACATTATTAACAATAAACAGTAAAGATGACAGAATCGTTCAATTCTCATTTTGTAAGTTTTTCCCTGCAAGCAAAATCATCCATTAATTGGTAAGGGTAGAATAAATGTAAGCATGGGATTTTAGCTGGAAGTGATGGTGAGAGCAATGTGGGAGAAGATATTCTCAGAACAAGTCAGCATAAATTCTAATCTTAGGACCAATGTAATTTGACACTAGGTTAAATGTTTTCCACTTTCTTCTCTCAAAAGTTTGAGTGTGTAGCAAATTTACTAGGGTCAATTATTTGATCTTCAGAAATTAGTACAACTTTGGAAATGGCATTTTCTCTCTCCTGGAATTCCAAACAGTTGGTGCTGGTTTTAGAATGACAACACAACATCTGGGGAAAAAAAGATAAAGGATAAGGGTGATCTACTATACTAAATAAAAATCAAAGAGAAAATACAGACTAGATTAGTTAAGAAATTCTTCTAAGAAAGATATGAGGACTAATAAGTGGGAGATACAGCATAATGTTTATTCATTCCATTTCCCATTCATTCAGTGAATTATTTAGTTAATGTCTACTGTGCAGTACCATTTTAAGTTCTAGGCAAAAAAGACACTCACTGCAAAGAAAGGAGGCTCATATATCTAGGTCAGTACACAGGCAAGTAGGCAGATAAGTGGGTACATTAATTAAAACACAGGTTGATAGAAACAACACAGAGGAAGAACAGATTAACTCTACCAGTTATGATGATTTTAGATTTTCTTGAAGAATGAATGAAACTTAAGGTTGGTGGGGGGGACTACAAAAAAATTAAAAGGTACTCCATGCATTGGCAACACTATGATGAAAAGCACCTAAGTGTGAAATGCGTGTGGCATAGTATAGAAAGTGAGTGTTTCTGTTTGGCTGGTGTTTATTGGGCAAATGGTGGGGAATGGTGCTGAAAATATAGGCCATGCTAAGAAGTTTTATTCCCAAAAGCAATGGGGACTTAATAGTGTATTTAAATTGGGAGTGACAGGATAAAATTTGTAATTAAGGATGATCATTCTTACAGTGAAGTGCAGGGCTTTACAGGGGGAGAGCTCACCTTTTTGGAGGTGATTATTAGAACCCAAGCAGAAACAATGGTGATCAATGTGGAAGGAGAATAGGTTTGAGAGAGGTTCTGGAGCTAGACTAGATGAACGTGGAGAGCAACTGGAACATGGAGGCAAGAGAGAGTGCGTGGCCAATGTGATGGTGCAAGAAAGGTAATATATAAGAACTGTTCCCAGGTTCCTTGCTCAGGGGACCTGGTGGATAAAAATGAGGGAAACTCAAGGCTCAAAACAGGTAAAGGACTAGTTCTTTTCAGGAGACA